TATTAAATATGTAACCAGCCCTCATATGTATTCATTTTCATATCTTTATGCCTGTAGGCCTTTAGTATTTATTTTGTTTAAAAGGCGAATCTTTCACATATAAAATAGGGAACGAAAAATAAAGGCTGTGAGGTCCAAGACTAGAGCAGTGTGGCGGGACTGCCCGAGACCTGGCCGAGTGGGCTTCCCACGGCTGAGTATCAAGCTCCACCACCTGGGTCCTGGTGGCAGCCCCCACCCGCTGTCTCCCTGCCCTGTGCGCTGGCATCTGGGTCCTCAGCTGGGCTCCCGGCTTGGAGCGCTCAGGCCCAGACGTAGGTGCCGGCTGGCTGTGCTCTCAGGGCGCCTCGCTTCTGAGCTCCTCGGGTCTTGGTACAGTGAGTTTTGCACAGTGTGCTCTGAGGTCCTGCCACTGTAGCCACTGCCCCTGTCTGCCACCCCTGACCCTTGCTGGCCGCCTGCATCTTCACAGTGCAGTGTCCTCTCAGCGCCTCTGTGCTGGTCCCCCTGACCCCCATTCCACAGCTGTACAGAACTCTGCTTCAGAGGCCTCCCGGGCTGGTGTCTGGCCCTAAGGCCAGCTAAGGGTAGTCTTGGTCACCCCCACACCATCCGTTTGCCAGGTTCCGGGGCAGTGGCCGGTGTCCTGGCCCCTTCTGTTATGGGTCAGGGGTGGAGTAGGACTGGTGTCCCTGGGCTGCTTCTGAGCGTCCTGCCTGCGGTCCTGGAGGGGTGCAGAGAGTGGCTTGGTGCCTGGGTGTAGACGGGGTGCAGAGGTGCTAGTGGGTGCTGTGAGGGGCAGGGAGCCTTGGTGCTGGACTTGCGCTGCCTCCTCTGCCTGCACAAGGCAGGGCCAGGCCCAGGGAGAACTGAAGTCACCCAAATGCTGTTCTTCCCTTCCTACCCTAGCCTCCCCCCAGCACTCAAAAATGAAAACTAAAAAAAAAAAAAAAGCAAGGAAGACTGCACATGCTGGCAGCCTCATCCGGCACCAATCTCGGGAGCTCCGGCAGGGTCTCCTCTCCGGACCCCACTTTGCCTGCCTGGAGGAGCTGCAGGCTGCTCCTGGGGATGCTTACCGCACATAGGAAATCGGTGCCAGCAGAGGTTTGCGTGGACTGGGAAAAGCAGGAGTGGTAAAACTTGCCTTGGAAACATTTTAAGATCAAACAGTGGCTACACGCCTGGCATGAAAACTCCGACAGCACAGCATGAGTTACATTTCCCAGTGCTTGGAAGCAGGACCGTCCATGTGCTCTGTGTGATGGAGAATGTTGCGACCTCGTGTGTGTTTCCACAGTACAATGCAGAGCGCCCTCTGCTCTTCACACCCTCACGAGTTGTTTGTAAATTCCCTTTGGTTCCAGAGTGAGGCTGAAAGTTTAAAATTTAGTTATAGCTGCTGCTGCTGCTTTTTTATCACGTTGCAGAAGCACACACCCCTCAAAGAAGCCCTCCTTACGCTTCCTTCGTCTGAGGGCAGGCAGCGTATTGTCTGATACCCTCGTGTATGTCAGCGTCTTGGTGCACTTGGGCCCCCACCCCGTCCTGGAGGTCAGAGGTGGAGTGTGGCCAGGCTGATAAATGCCAGCCTTGCTCTGAAGCGCTCGGGGCTATGCAGGCTGGGGTGAAGGGCGTAGTGCTCAGGGACATTTTAAAAATGTATTCTGTGCCCTGAAAGTGTCACGGGTTGATGGGAGCCCAGGGTGTTTGTTACCCAGTCAGCGCTTTGTGGACATGCACCCACGCCTTAAGCCCTGCACTGCAGAGCTGCGTTCCGCCTAACCCAGCGTGCTCAGATTCCGAGCCTTGCTGTCCACCTCCAAGGCCCATGCTTGCTCCTCGCACACCCGAGAGCTGCACACTTCCTAGGCAGGAGGCGTGACGGCCTTGAGCCTGTGTTAGAAGAGAGCAGGGGTTGATGCCAGACTCCCTGGGAGCAAGGCGATGCACTTCCTGCAGAGCGGAGGGAGACCATGATCCTGCAGCAGCGTGAAGGCCAGCTTCCCAGGCAGGGGTGCTTGGATGGCGGCCTTTAGCTGTTTGGTGGGAACCTGCTGATCCTAGGGATTTCACTACCAAATTTGGTAGCAAGTCCAGTTTTTAACCTATTCTGTTTCATAGAGAAGCATAGTTGTTCATAGTCGCTGCTCTCAGCAGCGCCCTAGCACTAATACTATGCGAGATTCAGTGAGAAAATGCTCATCAGAGTGGGGGAGACCCTCCCCCTGTTCAAGTGTTTGTGGTCATGTAATGTAATTGTACCCATTACCAATCACAAAATAGAAATTTCTGATATTTCCAAAATCCCATCAGTATTCAATTCAAATGGTTTCCCTTTCTTGTGAAACAAATCACTTAGAATTTGTTGGTTCCCATATATGTGCTTTTGGAAGGCCGGGAGACTTCCGCATTCCTGGTGTAGGGCATTGCTCAAATTCATTAAGTATCATTTTAAAGTAAATGTTTCTGTCCAGTGTGACAACACGCAGACCTGTGTGGGGAAGGTTTTCTAATCATGATTTACCTCTGCCTTCTGCAGATGGATTCATCAAAGGACTGGTTTTTTTAAATCATTTCTTTTTGGGACAGTGTCCAGTTCCTTTCCTGCAGACCCAGAGCCCCCAGCTGATGTGTGGTAGGAGGGAGTGTGTCTGGCACTGCGGTTTACCTGTGCGGCTTCAGGTGCTCATTCACTGACAGTTGCCTGTGATAATGCTGTCAATGTGGAAACGAACATTAGTGGCAGTGGAAAAGCGTTTAAGTAGAAGCAGCAGTTGTTTAACATCTGGGAAGGTGACCGGGGAGATGGGGTCCAGGGGCGGCTTCTAGCTGTTGGAGAGGGTTAAGGTGTTGATGTGCTGCTTCTCCCGTTCAGGGTGCAGCCATGTGGGGTGAGCCCATGCCCCGGCCTCCGTATGACTGCCTTGCCTATGCCTGCAGCAGCTGAAGGCAGAAGCCTTCGTGATGCACAGGTCTTACTTCACACTCAGATCCAACAGCCCACCACAAAGCGATTCTGTGCTCTATTTAAAAACAAAGCAAACAAAACCGCAGGTGCCCTGGAAATATTGGCGGCGCTGTTGCCTCTAAGTATGAGCAGCTGCCTGGCCCACAGCAGCCTCGGGAGCCTTCTCCCCCTTCTTCTTCCTGTGCAGATGCCGCTGAGGGGCTGGTGTGGGTCTCCGGTGCCTTCCGTCCCCTTCAAGATGGCTTCTGTCCTGGGGGTCTCGTCCTCGTGCCCCTGCTGCTGTGTACTGAAGTGGCCGTCCTCCAAAGCGGCCCATGCTGCCCCAGGAATGTCTGTGAGGGGGACCCCAAAGCGGTGGGAGCTGGGAGACTGGATTCTGTCAGAGGCCTTGGGTGAGACACACGGACCTTGGGCCCAGTCCCAGGGCTCCTGGACAGGAAGAGACAGTGCCGCATCCCTGCGTCTCTCACTCGCTCCCGCCTCAGCCTCCCCTGTGCCTTTCTTCCTCGCCACCCCCCATCATCCTGTGCCCAGCCACGGGGGCAGACAGCTGGTCCACAGGGAGCAAGGCGACAGGACTATTGCAGAGGCCAGACCTGGGGCCTCAGCTGCCAGAGGCCAGCGGGGAACTGGGCCGGCGGTGCTCCAAGCAGGCTCTCCTGGGCTCCGGTCCGAGTTCGAGTTCCCAGTGTGTGGAGCTGCTGTCAGCTCCAGGCACACGGAAGCCTTGGGGGGCTGAGTTTCTCTTTTCTTGGTGGTGCTAGGGGTGGGCCCAGGACCTGGTACATGCTGTGCAGGTGCCCCGGCACACTTACTGGCATGCACACTCACACTGACACACACACTCACACACACACCCTTTATTTTTTAAAACAGCATCTCACTAGGTGGTCCAGGCTGGCCTTGAACTTGCAGTGCTCCTGCCTCAGCCTCTGGAGTCCCTGGGCAGCCGGGAACCCAAGTGAGCTACTAGAACATGCACGTGGCATTTGGGAGGTATGTGGGAAGTGGAAGTGGTAAACATGTGAGGCAGCAGGGCAGGGCAGCCCTTCAGAGTGGACCATGGGAGGGAGGTGCCCCCGATGCCCAGAGAGGAGACCAGGAGTGGGAAAGCTTCCTTTGTTCTCAAGGAAAGGAAAGGAAATCTAATTTGTGAGCACGGAAAGGGAACCTGGGAGCACACAGAGGCGGTGGTGGCTTGCAACTCAGGGCTTGGAGTTTGATCTGAAGGAAAAAGCAGAAAGGAAATCACCAGTGGGGCTGGCACACAGCGGTGCCCACTGCTGGGCAGACTCAGCCCCTTGGTGTCTGCCACGCTGTGTGCTGAGGGTGGCAGTGAGTCAGCCCTGTGACACCACGCTGGCCTTGCGTCTAGCCTGGCTGGGAGCTCGGCCGGGAAGAGGCCTCGGCCAGGGCAGTGGGCCAGGCTGGCCACACACCCGGGACTTGGAGTGGGTGGCTAGACGGGGCCTGGCAGGGCCTCCGGCCCACATTCATGCTCAGTGTGCCGCGCCAGCAGGCGCCGTCCAGTGTCCTCAGTCTGACCTCCTGAGAGCCCTGGGATGCAGGAGTGATGATGACCGACCCCTTACACAGGCCAGGGCCCTGAGGCAGGAAGTGCACAGTGACTTACTGCAGCCCCACAGCCAGGGGGATCGGGGTGCAGGGCCACCTGGTGCCAGTCCTTCTGGGCAGGGAGGATACCAGTGCACAAGCCCAACACTTACTGGGTGGAAAGAAAGCCCTGGTCCTCATGTACCTGAGGAGGGACGAGATGTGTGAACCTGACTGTGAAAGCCGGGAGACGGCAGAGGCAGAATGGCTGTTCCCACGCGCTGTCCCCACGCATCTGGGGCTGAGAGGGACCCTGGCCAGGCTGTGTCTGCACCCTGGCCTTCCGGGAGGGGACAGTGTGGAGCAGGCAGCATCACCTCCTGTGGGGTGCTCACTGGCTTGCCCTCTCTTCTTTAGCAGTACACAGGGTGGGGCTCTCGGGTGCCAGGTGCTTCCAGCAGAACTGTCTCAAGAGTCTTTTGTTTTGTGTTTTAGATTTTGGAATATTTGCAGAGACTTTACCAGTTTAGCATCACTAATCTAAAGATCCAAACCCTGCTACAAAATCTGAAGTTTTTTGAGTGCCATGGCCTTCAGGGAATAGTTTAGGAGCAAAATAAATTGTATCCAAATTCATATTGATAAAATAATAGAAAATGCAAATTTCTGGGAAGAGTGTATAGGATGAAGGGAGGGAAATTTTATGGTATTTATGTTTCTACTGCAGATGCGGAACTCTCAATAACATCTCACTGGCATTTGTCTCTCTGTCCTCTCTTGTCTTGGTTGGGTTGATGTAAATAGAAAGCAACTGTAGTTAGCTCCCATTCTTGATGAACCAGTGGTGAGCCGTTCTAATTTGGAAAGCAAGCAGTCTCCTTAAACTGGAGTTTGCATCAGGTGATTTGTCAGTGTGCTCCTCAAGTGTTTCTCAGTCAGGAAGCAGCACCTCTTCTACCCCAGCCTGGTCTGCTCCTTCCTGGTGCCGATGCCCTTGCTGGCTGCTGTTTCTGCCCCCCGTTCCTCCGGCAGCTTGAACTGGTCCTGAAGTCAGGCTGTGTCCCTGGAGCCCAAACAGCACAGAGAAGTGATGCGAGAACCTGAAGAGGAAACATACCCTTTAAGAAGCAATGAAGAACTAGTAACTAAGGAGGAATTTGAGGAAGCGGATTGCCCAGTAAGAAGTAAGGGAACCAGAAGAAGGCACAGGAGCAGATTAAACACCAGCCCTGCCCCAGAACAGGACTGATGGACCCAGGAAGGCCCCACCTCCACTCCAGGGCTGACTTCCAGCCTTGCTGGGGGGATGGAGGGGGTGGGTATCCTCGCTGGATGGCACTGGTGGATTTCCAGCAGGGAAAGCCGGGCGCCTGGCATGGCTCGCTGGAAGCTGTGACAGTGCCAGCACTGCCCAGAGAGCCTGCAGGAGCTGCAGAGCCAAGCTCTTCAGGAGCTGGGGGTGGGGTCCAGGCCCTTGGCTTGGGGGCCCAGGAAGGGAACCCTTCCTCTCCCGGCTCTTTGGAACCCTCCACCCACAGAGGTTCTCAGTGCACTAGCAGCTAAAGCAAAACTATTACAGAGTGCACATCCATTTGCACAGCTAGGCAATAAGAGGGGCAGTGAGTTGATAACCAGCACCCACGGAAGAACCTGTCCATGCCCACAGAGTGCGCACCAAGGGTGTTTGAAAGCTCCTGCCTGTAAATAGGGAAATCGCATTATTGTTTGGGATGTGTAGCTTGCTTATCTCCTGTGCTGACTTCAAAGAAATCAACTCCATCGCATGTGGGCTGCAACTAGTTCTTTGAAACAAAAATAATACACATTATTTTAGAAGTATTTTATAAGTAATCATGATTGGAATGATTGCCCACTATTTTGTTAGCATGGGTGGAAGCAGCTTGTGTGTTACTCTAAAGGTCTTAGCAGAGTGTTTTCCGATGTTTCTTCCCCCTGTGCCACCCTGAGATGGTAAGGGGTTTCTGGTGCCTGGGCTGAGTCACCCTGCTCATGCTATGTCACAGTGAATGGCTTGTAGTGGGTGCTCAGGGAGATTAGGAGGGCAGGTGCGCAGGGGCAAGAGGGGATTATAATTGCTGCAGTGTATAGGTGAGCTCTTGTCATCACCGAAAACACAGGAAATAATCGTGTTTGCATAGACAGTAAGTGTAGCGAAAAACATAAGAGCACAAGAAAAAATATGAAACATAAGAAGCCACTTACCATCTGCATTGCAGTTCAGTTAGTGGGCCAGGACATAGCTCAGTGGCACTACACTGGCCTGGCAAGTGCAAGGTCCTGAGTTCGATCCCTGGTACCAGAAAAAAAAAGAAAAAATTCTATTAGTGGTTTCTTGGGAATTCCGACAAGCTGGGCACAGTGATGGTGCCTATAAGCCCCTCTTTCTCTGAAGGAGAGCCCACTGAGCCCTGCAGCTCAGTAGCAGCCCAGATCACACAGGGAGACCCCATCAAGAGAATTCCCAAAATATTTTCAAACATCACAGTTTGTGGAGCCACAGGAACCTGTGAGAAGGAAAAGCGCATGTGACACCATGTGCAGAGAGACCACTCAGAAAGACAGTGGTCTCAGCGGGGAAATGCTCTGGAGGCCAGAGGCCGTCATTTTCAGGGAAGCAGTGACACCACTTGGGCTTGAAAAAATGTCCTCATTGCTGTTCTCTAGAGAAAAGATCTTCCTGATGTTACTGTGTGCTTCATTTGTGGAACATCTAGTAGTCTTGATGGAAAACGAGAGCTTGGGAGAATGTCTTTTATGTTAAAGATGCTTACTTATGAAAGTAGAATGGTTACAGTTGAAAATGCTCTTGAGAAGTGGCTCGGGACTGAAGTTCTGCCTGCTGTTTTACCACAGTAGCTGTTACTGCTTCAGAATCCAAAGCACCAAGTAGTGGCCGCTTAGTTGCTATAAAGGATGGATGTGGTAGAGAGAAGGAGAAATGAGAAAGGTTTGAATAATCAAAATCCTCAGGTCTGTCTATCTACATCCATCCAGCCACCCTCCCACCTATCTACCTACCTGTCTGAAGGCACAATGGTCTATGATTCTTATTACCATTTTCTTATTATAGTCACTTCAATATTTCCTTATTACTATCAATAAGAATTAATTCAAATATACATCTTTTCCTCCTTGTTAGGAAAGGCATAATATGAAATGAAATGTTTATTTTTGGTATTATTTATCAAGATAATGTTACTTAGCATCTTTATGCACTTGGATATAGGATAATATTTAGCATGGTATTAGTGCTGGACATGAACTTAACCAATCTGAGACAGAGGCCGGATATTTCCTGGAGTGCATAGCACTGTATTTTATAGAAACACTGCACCATTCGTGAATTGCTTTTGGGCAACTTCTCTAGTTTATACTCACTTTATTTAACTCTATTTTGGATTTGCCAGCCTCTGTTCTAGAACTGAAAGAGTGGTAGAAAGAGAGGCTTCCCCTTCTAACAGCCTACAGAATGAAGGCGGAAGAGTGCAGTGGTGACAATGCCAGCCCACCCTAACTCCGGGAGCCGCAGCCTGGAGGAAGTGGCGTTCACAGCCCGCTGTGTCCGCAGTGGTCTGAACCCTTTATGTGGTGCACAAGCAACAGAAGCAGTTAGCTGGCCTCCGGGCCCTCGCGGCAGCCTGTGCACTCCGTGTGGCTTGGGAGCTGGAATGCTAGGAGACAGCACCCAGGTGTCCATGGCTGTTCGTTATCGGTCACTTGCACTCTGTATGATAAGTGAGATCTGACTGTGGATGAGCACCGAGGGCCTGTGGGTCTCAGTGGATGCAGAAGCATGCCACGGAGGAGAGCTTTTCACGTCCGTAATTGCAACCTTGCCAAGACGGTGACTTGAATAATTAGAAAAAGTGCCCCGTGGGTTAGAGGTTGCAAAGAGATAGGCATCTTAACTTAAGGAATTGGGACTCTTCTGTTCTTTTATTCGAGTAGCACAACTATTTTGCTTATTACCTTTTATTTCTAATCTTGTTCTCCAGGCACTTTGGAAAGACATGAGACAGGAGAAAGAGCAAGAATTATTCTTAATTGCTGTGGTGGTTCGCAGCTTCTGAAACCTGAGCCTGTGCTGCCGGCCACCTCGGAGACATGGAAGCATAGAAGCGTGGAGCAGGCGCCCTTGGGCTGCCACTGGCCTGGGCCAGGCACCTGCCCCAGTCTGCAGATGGAGGCCCTGCGGCAGGTGAGTCCACACCCAGCCACTGTGCAGTGGGCAGAAGTAGGGGGTGCATCAACACTGGACGATCAAATCCCAGAAAGAAATGGAGACCCCGACAGGGCTGACTCCAGGTGATCTTGGGGTACCACGGCCTCTCTGAGCAAAGATTGTCCCTGTTAGGGCATCAATTCTGACAAGATAGGAACTCGAATTCTGGGTGGTCTTCATAGGAAAGGAAAATTATACTCTCTAGTTTGGATTTATGTTTATTTTTCATTTGAGAGTATTTGATCTCTTCTGAAAATGTTTATTGCAAATGAACAAAAAGGTATCAGGAAAAGTGGATTAGTGCATGGGCAATTCTTTTGATCCTCTGCCTTGGGAAGAAAATCAGCTAGAGTCTGTGTTTATTCTCTCAAACCAAGCCCACCAGCTTAGCAGAAACTTGGAGCAGCTTTATCATTTTCTCTTGTAACATGAAATAGTAATGTAATCTGGTTTCTTTTCCCTCTGTTCACTTTTACATCCTCAGGTGACCCCTCAGCATGTTGTAACCTTGCCACTTATAGACACATAAACAACATAGTTTTCCCATAAGCATATCTTCATAATATTGTCTAATCTATGTACATTTCATCCACATCATCTTCCGCGAGATGTCTTTACTGTTGCTGATAATTTTATTTTATTTTATTTTTTTGGTACCAGGGATCGAACTCAGGTCTTTGCGCTTACGCAGCAAGCGGGGAAACCACTGAGCTAAATCCCCGGCCCAATAATTTTATTTTTTATGACTCTATTATTCCTTCATTTTTTTTTATTCCTTTATATTTTACAAACAACTTACCTAAGAGCCCAAGAATTTTTTCATTTAAATTATTTGAAGGACACATTGGAAGCAGGATTTGTAAGTCAAGGTTTGGCTGATTTTGATCATGTACTGTTGCCACTTTCCCTTGTTGCACAGCACTGTGGAGATTGCTAAACATCATTCATTGATCATTCACTGGAAGGTCTCCTTTACCTCTCGTGTACATCCCAGTCAGAGGCAGAGGTGCCAGAATGCCCTGAGATCCTCAGGGTACAGTGTCCAGAACGGGGTATGGGCTGGCAGGTGCTCCTTCGAGTTTTAGGTGCAGAGACCTGATTTAGAATTTACCGACGAGTCTAGGATTTGCCAGCCATTGAGAACTGAGTCACACTATCCAAACACATAGGAGCTGAGTGTACACACTGGGAGCTCCATGGCTGACTCCACAGTGACAGCTGCCACTGACACTGCCAGCACCCTGAGCACCTTCTCCCTGTAGCTCAGCTGGGGCACAGGTCATGTGGGGTCCTCAAGGCCAGGCAGAGCTGGGTTCGGGCAGAAGGCCGAGTTCCCTGCAGCCACCGCCTGTGCCTCGGGGAACACTGGCCCAGTGCAGGACTCTGAGGACCGATCTCCTATCTCCCTGTCTGAGGGAGTCCCTGCTTTGCCTCCTGTTGTCCTCCCTCAGATGCTAAGGCCCCGTGATGCACTGACAGTTTTTTCTTTTCTTCTTCAGTCAGCTGTTTTTAGATGGCCCAAACCTGGTTTTGATTTTATGTTTAAAAGCTCTTTCTTATTTTAAAAAGGCATCTGTAGAGATGCATGGCCCCCTGGAAAGGCAAGTCACACGCGCACTTCTAGCTGGGGTGTCCGGAGGGTCTCCAGCTGACCCTGCACTTCAGCTGCCTGGGTCTACATGAGCAGCTCATTCATCAAGGGCCAGATTTGTAGCTCAGTTCCCGGAAGGTAAACTGATTGCTCTTTCTTCCAGTTTCTGGGAGAACCTCAGAGCTACCCTTTAGGTAGTGATAATAGTATAGATAGATTTCATTTTCTGTATGTAATTTTGTTTCTTTCTTGACTTCAGGAAGCAATAAAATGCTGGGGTCTTGTTCTCCTACTCCTAGGCTGCGTTCAACTTTATTTTCTAGCTGCTGCCCTTTGCCTTTGGTGACTGCCGCTCCCAGTGTTCATCCCTGCAGCAGAAGGAGAAGGGCAGACAGGGCCACCCCTCCGCTGTCCCACACGCTTGGTCTTCCACGGGACTTGGTGCTCGCTACAGCGACTTGGGACTTGCCTCTGCTTCTCCCCTCGGGCTCTGAGCTTGAGGCCATTCATTGCATCTTCTAGCATTTCATCTGAGGGTTAGGCTGCTGAGATTGCTTGATTTTAATCTTCTTTAATTTACAAATTGATAAGCATGAAATTTCAAAGGTACTTGTAGGTTCTTTGTTCTCAGGGCGAATACAGTAAAATGCTCCATGAGTTTGCATAAGAAAATAACATCAGCTTGGAAGACAAGGGTTTGAATCACACTCATTTATAGGTGGGGAAATGCCTACCATCATTAGAAGGTCCTGAGGCTGCTTTGTGTTTCAGGGTTTGTGTGTGTGGGTAAATTAAGCAGAAGTGAAGTTTTCCGAGTGGACTGTTTCAGCAGAAGCCCGTGTCAGGCCTGTGTCATGAGCTCTTTGTGTGAGGAATATGTGGACATTTCTAGAATGCTGCATTCAGTTTCTCTTCTTGGATTGGAAGAGTACACACAGCTAACAGCAGATGCAATAGAAAGCATTTTAAAACCAGGTCCAATTTGAGATGCTGAAGGAGTTGAATCCGTGCAGCTAGATGAAGAAAACATCTTTGGGGCAGGAGAGGAGGGTCAGAGTCTTAAAGACTAGGGAGGTGCTTTTCTCAGATTGAGCTGAGTCTGAAAGCAAGACAGAACCTGTTTAAATTGTAGTGGCAGGAATTTTGTTTAAAGTAAAGAATAAATGACTTTGCTAAATCGTGTCTACATGGCAGAAATCTTTGTAGCTTCATCATAGTTTGAGGAGAAAAGGCCTATTTTGTCTGTTGGTCGGTTGATTGGTTTTAAATTCTCTCTCTGCATATCCTGTCTGTAAGTGAGTTCGTGGATAAGCAGGGTTATTTTAGCTGTCACCGTGTAGGCCCTTGTAACGCCTCGGGGATGCTGTGTTTACCTGATAGTTAGTAGGGCCCCAGCAGCCCCCGCTCACCTGCTTAGCGCTTCAGCATCTGCTCTGCAGCACCGAGCACGTGAGCCTGTGGAGCCCCTGACATGCGGCCAGCACCGCGCCAAGGGCGGAGCACCGGGAGGGGCAGGGTCGATAAATACGTGGTGCAAGTCAAGGTCATTTCTTCCTCCTGTGTCCGCAAGGCAATTTAAATCTCAGATGCAGTTTGTTTCTGTTTGTACTGGACAGTGGTGAACCGGATCAGGGCTGAGTAAACCCTTTCTTTTGCCAAGGACCGGAGCGGGGCCTGCGGCTCTGGTCTTGGCTGCCGCTGCTACTCGGCTTGCTGTCGGAGCCCGGATGCGGCATCGATGGTTCCCCGCCCAGGGGCTGCATTGCGGCACAACTCTGGTTGCCCAGGCAGGCGGGCAGTGCTGGGGCCGCACGGTGGCCGGCCAGGCAGCATCTCTGCAGACCGCGCTGGACCGGGGGCCCTCGGTACAGGAGGAGCTGGCCCGGTCTGGCCTCCTCTGTCCCTGCCCGCCTGAGCCTGGCAGGCGGCGGGTCGTCCTGAAGGCTTATGCACTGGGTGCACGGGGACCCGAAGGGCCGTGGTTCAAGTCTGTTCTCTGACAGAAACCAGGCACTTATGCCTATGCCCGGTTGGGACAACTGTCCTTTTCAGCAAGCTGAGTACGGTGTGCAAATTACGGGCCACCCAACTGAGATTTCTCCTGGAACTTTCATTACATAATTCACTTATGTGTGCCTCCTTAAACCGACAGAACCAATCATCAGTGAAAATACATGTGTGCTTATGCAAGCTCCATTCCCGTTGAGCTTTCTAGAAGGACTGTTCCTTGCCTCTCACCTTTCTCTGACCCTGTGTGTCTGTTAGCTTTTTGCTAAATCCTGCTACCCCTTGTGAAATGCACGCAGCGCCCCTTAGACCTCTGGTAGAGAACAGGACCCCACCTCTCCTGCACTTTATCAGAGGGAAAAGTTAGTTCTTCTACATTTTATGACACAAAGTAACCGAAATAGGCCTGGTGCGGCTCCTAACTAGTGATATTTGAAAATTTCACCTGCACATTTACATGTAAAGTATTCGCGGTGGCTGTAGTACATACTGCAGCCTAACTCGCTTTTTATTTAACTATATTATCAAAATCACTTCATTTCAAAAAAGAATAAATATTTATTTGAAAAAAATTATTGCATTCCATTAGGATAAATCATCCATACAGAATAACAATGTCCCGTTTTTTGATCATCACTTAATTTGGGTTCTGATGTTTTTAACATGTAAGCAAGAGCTTGTGACTATTTTTCTAATGTGGGAAATGTTTTGCATCAATTTTATATAAATTTGGGAGAAAACAAACATATTATTAAACATGAAAGCACTCAATAAAAACATAATGATCTTTCTCTGTGAGCATTGGATTAAAATGTTTGAGAATTCTGATTTCATGAATTTCAACTTAAAATTTTAGTGCTGAAATGCTAACACCCTTCCTAGGAAGAAAGAGTAGAAAAATGTGCTCTAGAGGAGACACGTACAGAGCAGTCTGCTGTTTGCAGCCTTGTGGAGTGACAGGAGATTTTGGCAGTGTGTGGCCATTTCTGTACACTTTTCTGTACAATTGGAGCACTGAACTGTCTGAATAAGGTGAATTTTCTGAGCAGATGTAGTACAGAATGAGCAAAGGGGTATTCCTCACAAAGCAGTTATAGAAAGTATTAAGGTATGTGGAGTTTTAGCTACTGCAGCTCTTAATACTTCCATGCACTTACAGTAGTAAGGAGCATTGAATAACTGCTTCATGAGGAGTGTCCCCTCATCGCCCCGTAATGTTTTTGATTAAAAACTCCCCTTCCTTATGGAGAAAATGATGAGACACCCATCAAGGCTTTGTCTCAAACTGAGAAGGCCTGAATGGCTGGGGTGGTACACACACACACACACACACACACACACACACACACCATTAGACACCTCAGCTGTCTGCCCGTACACAGAAGCCACTCTGCATTTCCTCACAGGGTTCCAGGGCCTGGCTGTGTCTCCACAGGCGCTGGCCATGTAAATCAGAGCAGAAGGAGCTGCTGGCTGTCCTGGGGTGTGGCTGGCAGGAGCCCAATTGTGCTTTGCGTGCTGGCGGGGAGCACCCGCGACAGAAGGACACTGTGCGGACTTGTGTGACAAATGCAGTTAACACCAGATCCATATTAATGTTGTCAAGCTCCCTTGATGTATTTAAACAGATTTTAATTGTTTCCAGCATCCAAAGGCCTGAAATATATAGCCTCATAGTTCTTCAGAGAAAGCTTACTTAATATGTGAATGTAAAACCTCTCATAAAAATGAAACTTTTCTATTGGCCCGAGTCATTGACACAGGTTATTCATCAAGTCAGCAATTTGTGTGGCAAAGTGCCATTTGAATAGTGTATTGTGAGGATGCTTAGGGTCCACTTGACAGGGCTCTCACCGTAAATAGTGCAATTTGACTCCAGCTGTTAAAGAATGGCTTTGACAGCAGCCACACGGAATGGAGATGCCTGACCGCACACGAAAAATCAATATCGGGAGCTTGTTCCTGGTAACCTGTTCTTATCCCTTCTGCGGGTTTATAAACGGCCAGCAAGGGTGTGTAAGTGCAAGATTAAATATTGTTTTAAATGCACCTCGCTTGGAGTTTCAGATGGAGACCCCTGCTAAGTGGTCAGAGTGTGGAGTGTCAGGCTGTGATTTCCAAATCCCAGGTCATGCTTACTCACAGCTGCAGTTAAGGGGAGTCCGGGCTCTCTGCACTCGGGAGGAGAGCATTAGTGTTAGAGACAGACACAGAGCCGGGCGGCTATTGTCTGTTGCCAACCGGGTTACTTCTTCGGCTTGAGTTTTCTGATCGTCCTATCTGGTTGCTGCCCATCTTCTGTGTGTGCTGTTTTGTGTAGCTGGCAGAGTCCTTTGTGACTATGCCCAGGGCACTACCCACAGATGTTGCCAGCCAGCAGCATCCCCAGTGTGGTTTTCCTACAGCAGTCTCTGGGGTTTTGAAGAGTTTTCCAGCAGTTTGAGCACTGTCAGGTTGCTATGATACCTAACTGGCAGTAATAGATAGTGAACACACAGGCTCCTCTTTGATTGGCTCTCTCTCATGGCTGGATGTTATGTTTAAGGTACAGATGAGGGAGTAAAATAATGTGCTCAAGATGAGAAAGAAAAAAAAAAAGGTTTCAAGGTAAAGTCTTAAACTATAAAAAATTCCAAGTTATGAAAACTTTTTAGCTATTGATTTTCTGGAAATGCTGATCTAATTTATTTAAATTATTCCTAGCTTTGGACTGGATTTGATTTTGAATTTTCATTGTCATTTACCTGAGATATAGTAAGCCTTCCTCCAAGGTGTGCTGAGCAGAATTTGAACAAAACTGTCTTTTTAAACTCAGAGAACGCCAGCGTGAGGTATAGTTTGTGAAGAGCTGTTTTCGGTGAAGGCAGTTAAAATTACTGTTCTCCTTTTACCAACCAGCGCTGTGTTTATTGAGTTTATGACTGAGATAGCAACTGAAAATTCATACAGCAGATAACATAATTGTGAACAAAGACCTTTACAGCCGATTCAAGGTCAGTGTTATTGTTTTTATAATTGCTGATTGGCAATCTTGATTTTTACCAGAGAAAGGGTTTGTTCAGTTTTGGTTTCTGCTGGTTTCAAAAAATATAATCTCCTCTGTTAACTCTAAAGTAAGATTTTTCAGTGAATACATGCTTACATCATTTCTTTATTACTAGATTTAACCTAGATCTACCTCTGTTCCTCTCTCCCCTTCAGTATTTCATCAGTTCCATTGGAAACATGGAGACCTAAGGTGATAAATCTCTTCTTGAATTAAATTCTGTTGATCACCATCACTTAACTTGGGGGAGCAGCAAATCTAGCAGAGAAACATGGAGAAAAGTCAAGCTTATCAGGCATTTTGCTTTTGTGTTTAACTTAACCTAGGGACAGTGTTAGCATAATTTATGACAGCACGCTTTTACATGTTCCTTTATTTACACTAATAATTCGTAGTTATTATTTTAGTTGAGTTCTGTAACCAACATCCAGCATCAAGCATTTAGGGACTTGTTCTTCTCCTTCATTTCTTTTTTTTCTTTCCTCCTTTCTTCTCTGTTGTCAGCTTTTCTCTTTTCAAAAACCTGTCACTTTCCAAAATTTGTTAATCTCTTACTTCTTATAGAACCCAAAAGATAGGAAATTCTGCTTAAAGAGCTCTGAGTCTGTAGAGGTGTAAAATTCATGGCAATGTTCTGCACCTTCTACTACTGAGATATTTGCTGCTTCTGGTTAAAAGGTGATGCCACGCATTCCCCACTTTGCTTTATAATTGACTATCTTCATCATTCTCTATGAGGAATATCACATATCATATCCTGCTTCTTATGACTCACATACTGGATGACTTCTCAGGAACAAAAGTGAAGTTTGCAGAAATTCAGATGTTGAGTCAGTTCCAAGTGCTAGTTGCTCCTACTGGGGAAGAAGAGGAGGCGGCCAGAAGCCTTTCTCTCGAAAGCGCTGCGGCCCAGTGTTGACTGTGCCTGCCATCTGGACCCCGGGGCCCAGCCAGAGCCCAGCCCCCCGTACAACGCTGGGCCTGTCCCCGGGAGGGGCGGCACCCACGGACCCAAGGGAAGGGCAGGTCTGGGAGAGCAGTCCAAGGGTTTGCCCAGGGCTCCCCACAGCACCGGAAACAGTGCGTTAAGACTGCAGCTGTGTTCATTGGAACTAAGACTGTGAACATATCTTGTTGGGATAATACCCAGCCCACATTGCTATTCATTTCTGTGAATTAGGTTTTAATAGTTATGTCCTGAAAGTGCCACCAAGTTTCTGGATTTCCAGTGACAATCACCAATTTCTTTCTTACACTCTTTAGCTACTCTGAACACAGATGTCCTTACCCCGGGCTAAAATACCCTGGGTGATGATTCCTGCTAGACTTGGGAATGACCCTACGAGACTGCAGTGAGCAGCATGGACTTTCTTCCTGTCTGTATATTTAATTCCGTGTAAAAATAGGACTGAACACTATAATTTTTCTTCTTTTGTCTTCCCATACTAAGACCTGATGTTTGTAGAGAGGCCTTCTGTGAGCTGTCTCCACTCCTTTCTTCCTAGCTCCCACTAGAGGTCTCTTGTCATTGAACAAAACCTGGCTCTCTCCATTTGCTCCGTGGTAGAAGTGTGTCGTTTTCCTCTTACTTGTCTCCCCAGCCTTCTCTGCTTTACAGCACCAGGAGAGTGGCCTCACTCTGACTGTGCGGCAGAATACAGAGGGAAGAGGGAGGGCCGTCTCCTCCTACAGGGTTATCATGAGGTTTATGTAAAAATATTCCCCACTTGATAGGACTCCTCAAATCTAAAAAGCTATGGGTCGAGAACTTGCACAATGTTTATTATCATGTGATTGTCACTAACATTTTTAATTACCAAGAACAGACCTTTTATTCAACCCAGCCAATTATAATCAAAGTCCTGTTTATAGGTGAATATTGGCTTGTCTTTCAGATCTTACATGCACGCTTTTGCTCTATGCTGTTGATATTTATTTATGCTAATGATCAGCTTAAATAATCTTTGGAATTTGCTTTTACTATAATTTCTGGTGTTACCAAGGATAGAATTAGTGTGGTAACAGCAGAAAACTGCAAGTCTTGAAAGCACTGTAAGGCAATTCCATAACTACTCTAAAATACACATCTCCTTAATTCTACCCTGGTACCCTTCTCAGTCAGTCAGGAGAGCAGCTGACGACGGAGTGCCCTACCCCAAAAGCAGGTGTCCAGGTAACAGCACTCCAAAGACTGATGCCTTCACCTTTTCTGGCAACTGGTGATGGGGGCCCAGACCAGACCCTAGCTCTAATATTCCCACTAACACTAAGACCAAGCTCTTGTATTTTAAACCACTGTGTTAGTATTCACCATAATTTAGTTTGTAATAAGTAATTATCTATATCAGTTTATGCCTTCACCAATTTGGACCCTTAATATTGCTATCTGTGAAAAGGGCATAATAAATGGGCCCTGAATTCATAGTCAATCCTGAAGAGTAGAAGGGCCACACAGTGTAGTCTCATTATGTATGAATGATACATCATCTCTCTTAAAGCTTTGCAGCCCTCCTGCGGTTACCTGTCTCCTTGATGAATCATTTCATGTGATGGCTTTTAATTCCCGTTTTCAGGATGAGCTGAGTATCATTCAGAGTAAACATGCAACACCGTATCATAATTAAAAGTTCTAATCGATTTTTACTGCCCGTGGGTAACTTTTTCTTTGTTTACCAACTCTGGACATGTTGAGGTATGTCAAAACCTTGACGGTAGCTACTTTAATATTTTAGAACATTCATGAAATTAAAATTGTTCATAATACTATCATCATGTAATTTTCTTCTTTATTAAACTAGGAACTAAAGCTGCACTTCCGTATCAAGAAAGCCCATAGGGTTTTAGTTTGGGCTTTGACAGTTAGCATGAGGGTAGGGAGTGCCTGCCAAGTGGCACACCCAGACTCAGCCCTAGGAGCTTCTGGTCTGTTGGACTCATGTTCCAGTTGAGGAAATGGCCTTTCAGCTTTCACCACTTGGCAGAAAGAAGCCTAGGAAACGCATGCCCAGTTGTTACTCATCTGAACTGTGTTCATTCTTGGAGTCAAGGCCAAAGTGTTCGAGCATGTGTGAAGAAGATAGTGAAAATGTCAGCAGTGCCTTTGGGGCCACAGCCCAGTGTGTGACGCAGCCATCTGGCCTAGCTCGGAAGCTCCGGGTTTCTCTGCTGCGGGTGCACCAGCGGGTCTCCCGACTCTTCCAGGCCTGTGCTGAGGGTCCTTTCCTGTGACTCCCACAGCAGCTACTTCGGTGCCCTTTCTCAGCGCCCCTTTTTCTTTCATTCTTTCCTGTCCTCCCTCCACTGTGGCTTAGACTCGGGGCTGGGCACTGACTTGCAGTGTGCCTGTGTCCGCCCCCTCGAGTGTCTGCCTGACCGGCATTTGGAAGCATCTGTCAAATACACTCGCAGGCTAAAAACTACCAAGTCAACATGGGCGGAACAGTGAGAAAGTGGAGATTCCTTCCTTTTGTAAATTACAAAGGAAAAACACAATAAAGCTGGAAGAAGTGTGAATTCATTTTGCCATTTAATTGCTTTAAATGCAAATTGGATTTTGCATGGCTTGACTTAAGAGAGGGGAGCAGTGCAAGGAAAAGCAGTAAGCCCAGAAAGGCTGCAGAAACACAGAGTTAGCCCAGCGGTGTCCAGTCGCCATCCCTCACCAGCCCCACTTCGTAAGGCATATGGGTATGGAGACCAGTCCAAGTCAGTTGAAAAGTTGATGTGAAAGTTTATTAAATAATAGTGATGAAATATAGTATGTTTGGTTCACTCACCACAGGTACAGAGGGAGCACTTACTGGGGAGCTGATAGAGATGCAGAAAGAATAATTAAACAATACGGTTAAAACAGCTTCTCTCACCAGCAAAGCTTATATTACCACCCCATTCCCTGCCCTTAAATCTCAGGCTTCTTTTTTCTAGTAACAAAGTTATCTAAAAAAATCACTCAAAAGTGGCCTAAGGATTGTATTGTACATCATGAGTCCCCTACTTCCCTAGAATAATTACTTTACTCACCTCTCCCCTCAACACAAAGCCCCTGAAGCTGGCAATAATCTAATCCACAGGTTTGTAATAACTTTTAGAAATGTAAGGATAATAAATATGAAGAGGCTTTATTTATGTTTCATTTCCCAAATGCAAAGATTCTGGTCCAATTCTGCATCCCCCAAGAAGCAAACATGGCTTCCTCCCTGAGTAATTATTGGAAAATTGCTTACCTCACCCCACCCCATAGAGGATGGGAGAGAAGCTGACTATGTCCAATCTGCCAGACCTTAAACACTTCAGCTAACTCGTATTGGGGACATGGGTGATGCAGGGTTAGAGGTCCCAGGAGCCACCAGGCCTGACAGGATTTCCTCTTCATTGTCTCTTAATACCCACTCAC